GTATGGTATTCACATATGCAACAAATACTATTAAACGTTTAAGAAACATATCAATTTGGTTCTAGAATGTAATGCATACTTCGCAAGTTCTGAAGCAGTTAACAGCTCAGGATATGATTCTGCCAATCCAAGAGACACTGTGAAGAAAGAGCTGTCATGATACATTGCATCTGCAATTACTCCCTGCTTTGAAGTCTTTGTGTTGTCTTTGCTAGCAATAACTTCCTCATGAAAAATATTATGCTAAAGAGCGAAAGGGATGAAGTTGTTTTCAAGCATATCAGTCCAGCTGACAAGGTCTTATGACTGTGATTATGACTTGCTTACCTCCTCCATTGGAATGACTTGAGCGTAGCCACCTCCTGCCGCTCCCCCTAGAGCAGAGAGAACAAATTCAACATTCAGGACCCAGGATACAAAGAGATAAAAGTCAATAAAACTGTGTGCCCTTGCAATGATCCTTCACTGCTACAGTGTTTCAGGATAAAATTTATTAAGAGTTCCCTACGCGGACAAAACCATGGACAGCCAAACAGTCGGGGTTAACGCGGTGCTTTACCAATGTTTAAGGAAAACATCAACACGGGCTGTAATAAAGATTAGTCCTCCAAAAACTAACTTATAAAAAAAGGCGATTTTAAATTTGGAAGGCAAGATCTGAAGACAGTTCAGTGAAAAGAAAGGGTATTTTAATTAGCAGTGTGTAAGAGAAACTGGGGTCTCAAGAGTCAACATTTTCTGCCCCCGCATAGGCCAAGGTAATATCTGCTCCCAGCTCAGCATGAACGGCGATTTCAGTCCGACCTTTCCCAGAAAGTTCCAGAATATTTGATCAAATATAAAACTCGACACACGGACAGCTTCGGTGCAGGCTGGGGACGAACACAATACCTTTCACACCGAAGGTGGGCCCTTGAGAAGGCTGCCTCAAACAAGCAAAGGAGTTGACCTTCAGGTGGGCAGTGAGAGCCTGGGCCAGGCCAATGGACACTGTGCTTTTTCCTTCCCCCAGGGGGGTGGGAGTTATCCTTCGAAGAAGAGAGAAAACACCTTTGAACTTTCCCCTACTTCACCAATGGCTGTCATAGTTGGAACATACAGTAGGTTGTGGCAGAGAGAAAAAAACCAAGGTCAATAAGTCTTGCCTTGCACTCCACTTGTGGGACAGACAAAGGACTGCCATAACCCTTCTCAGGAATAAGTGTTTGTTCGATAATGAATGATTGGTTAGAGGTATTAAAACAAAAGAGAAAGGTGTCTCTTACAGAGACGGATCCTTTACTGGGTTTTCCTGAATAAGCACAGAAATGGCTTCCAGTCAGTTATTTCTGGTTAATAAAGAAAGCCTGAGTACGTATGTGTGCCGTGGATAGGAAAATTCCAGAAAAAGAATCTTTGGCTACATTACATCACCTTACAATAGAAGTTAAATAAAAAAACGGTACAACAATAAAAACTATCTATTTTCATAGAAGTTGTATTAGATGAAAACGTTAAGCAAGGATGTAAGCAATTTAGATAACTTTGGGAACTAGTCTCACATGATTTTAAAGCAGCTAGTCTATGACTGTTCACTTTGTTGCAGTAGATAACAGATATCAACTGAAAGAAATTCAGATTATAATCTGTATCAACTGACACAAAAATGTAATGAGGTTTGAATTACTGTATTGCATGCCTGTAATTAGACAATGTATGGGATATTTCAAAAACATGCTAACAAATAAAGGTAGGGGAGAAAAGTTTCCAAAATAACTAATATTTCACAACTGATCGCAAAACAGCACGATTTTAGAATATTATCGGAAGGCTAAATAACTCAAACAGAAGCAAGCACAATAACATAAAACGAACACAGAAAACCCATGAGATTAAAACAGGATGAAATGAAACCTATGAATCTAGCTAATATTATAGCTCACAAACAACATTCTTGCTACCAGTCTCAAGATAAATCCAAATTAATTGGTCAAGTAAAAGACTGAGGGATCTCCACACTATTGGCAGAGCTGCAGTTCTGTTCCTCTCTGGATATCGCCAACTACTTTAAACTACATGATGGATTTTGCAAAACATTCCCTACAGTAGAAAGTTCATGTTTCGCTCTCTTTTACACATCAAAATAATGTAAGGCAAGACAAGGTTCCCACCCTGACAGACAATCATGTCTTGAAAATTCAAAAGCCTTTGGTATTTCAGAGTCTGTAGTTAGAAGTATACCGTCCGATTTACTGTATCATTAATCCATACCTTTTGAAAGCATACAGAGAAACACTGCTCTGTCTGTGTTAAACAGCTCAAGCTGGGGCAGCTTTGCTTAACACAAGACTTTCTTTTAGCCCCATCTATGAGAAAGGACATGTTATCTTGGCACCAGTTTAAAGAGGCTTGCCTGGGTCTGACATTAATTGCCGCAGACCTTCAACTCTCTAAAGGTTTCACAACAAAGGGAGTCCATTTGCAGGAGGTTGCAAAGTGGACTTTCATTCCTGTCTGGCTGCCAGGGAGACTGTTTGTTTCAAACATTAAAGAAACTGTGGTTCTCATCCGCCTAGTGAGAGAGGTGCTTTTTCACACAGAGGTAAACAGAGGTATACAGTACAGACTGGTATGTGAATATAAAGCCATCAAAAGATAAGCCTTTCAACAAGTAAGACTCTTACTGCACATGTTTGAACCGAAATTCTTCAATACTGCAGTTTGTGCACTATATATTAAAACCTGTAGATTTCAAATGGAGTAGGAGAAGAAATTCATTAATACATTCTAAACTTTTCTAACCATTGACATTGAGACAAATACTTTCTCAATGTATTACTAAATACTAAATGTATCCATGCAGTATGCCGATATTCAAATCCATGTTAAAAAATTCAGGGTCAGATTCTTAAAAAACGATTTAAACAAAATTTTCAAGGTATAGTGTTATACAAGGTATTGAATGGAGTATGCCATAAACCTCCACCTGCAGATAGTGATTATAATTTAACACTGTATAATGAAATTAAGAATTTAAGGAGAAGTGGTTTTCATGTGCATATTGAAAATGGAGAAAAACATAATATAATACGGCAAAAGAAACCAAAATGATAGATATGGTTAATGACTCAGTTCTTACTGTTTGTCAGAGGACAGGTTTGGATTGTTCTCATCTTTTACACAGCCAAGACAGAAATGCAAAGTACTTTGACTCTATACAAATTGAGTCCAATCATTCGTTTTCAATATCAGGAAAGGAGATGGAACACAAGAGGAGTAGAATGGGACAGGACAGATATGGACAAACAAATGGTAACAGTTTAAATAGATCCTGCTGAAGCTCAGATGATTTCTCCCAAAAGCGAATACATTCAAAACTATAAAACAGGATCTCAAATTGTTCAACAAAATCCATTAGGAAAAATATAAGAGAATAAAAAACACTTCATAAAACGATCAAAAAGAAAGTTAAAGAAAAGGAGTACAACAAATTGCATGCACAGTTAAAAACAGGAGATTAGAAAGGCCACGATAGAAGAAAAAGGAAGATAGCAATGGGGACTGAAATAAATTACATAAACGCATAACAGCAAAACAATCAAAAAGCATCATGCAACAATGTATCTGGGACAGAAATGGGATATTTCTGATGTACTAAACAGATATTTCACCCAGGTGTTCACTAAGAAAGAGGTCAACAACATGTCTCAGGCAGTGGAAGTACACTGTATATCTTTGGACTGTGAAAGGGAAACTGAGACACCCGGTGAAAACACACACAAACATGGGGAAAACATACAATTCCACACAGATAGCACCCCAGGAATTGAACCCAGGGCTCCAGTTGTGCAAAGCAGAAATGCTAACCACTGCACCGCCATGTTACCCTTAATGTCTTTATTCACATTTTCTCACTATTGATTCAGTACAAATTTAAAAGAAAATATAGAGGAGAAATGTTTTTCTTGTTGTACATATATTTATACACCCATCGACAAAACAAATCATGATTAAACTCTGTGATGTTTTTTTTATTTTTAAATTTTTGATCAGTTTACAGCTCTACATGTTGTATAATATGGTAATATTATTGCTAGAAAGTCCAAATGGCCCCCTCACATTGATAACTTTTCCTTTGTTTCATTAAAATTAAAAAATAATGTTATCAACTGATATGGATACATACAGAATGCCAATTCTGTGTTAAAGCAATTCTGCTCTTTTCACTCAATGATTTTCCTTTAGAAAATGTTTGAGATGATTTAAGACAGTATTTAAACTTAAACTTTTTGAAGGACAGAAAACTTTACCTTCAGCAGCAGCCCTTTATATTAGCCACTGCTAACTTGGATTGTTCTCATTTTCTAAGATGAAATAGAGATTGCTAATGATTGCTTGTTTTTTTTTTTCCTCACCCAAAGAAAACTGTGTTAATAAGAATTAAAGCCACTATAAAGAGAGGCATAACTCCAGTCCTCCAGGACCAGAAGAGGTGCAAAGAAAAACCGTGGACGCTCTTCTCCAGCATGGGAGTTTTGCACCACAGTAACAACAGTAAGTGACAGTGGATTAATGAGCAAATTGGTAATACCAGAAATACAATCTGGAGTTACAATATATGGGTATCTAAGATGTTTGCTCAGTAGTAAAAATATATATCTTACGTACCTACATAAACAATGTGGTTTAACATTTCTAAGTTCAAAATGTGGTTTAACATTTCTAAGTACAAAATAAGAAACCTACATAAACAATGCGGTTTAAAAGAAAGAAAACTAAATGTTTCTGGTAAATCTCAAATGTAAAAAAATGTGTGTAGAGTAAATACATAATGATATTCAATAATAACTAGGTAGTCTGTTACTGTGGGCTCATAAAGTGGTCCTACTATATTTTAACCAACTGCCAGACTACCACATTAGGTAAAGGATCATGTATTTTTGCGCTTAACTTTCAAGGATACTACGCTAGATACAGTACATTTCACAACGCATGGACCATTTCTTTCACAGACTTGGAACAGGTATGCATTCCAATCAACAGGGAGAACCATCTGCACTCTGGTCAGCCAGAAGTAACTAGCCTATAATGTTAGAGACATTCAGCCAGAATGGAAGAAGTGGGGCAATGCAGCCCTGTATATCCTGCCCAAATCAGATGCTACAGGCCTTGAAGTGGTTGCCTAGAACTGTGATACCACTTTTTCCCATTGTTGTAACTTTTTGTCTGAATCCACCAGGCCAAAGCCTGTGCAAGGGATTACTGGATCTTTTCAGGGTCCACAGCATTAGAACAAGCATGTGGATCCCAGTCATCCTCAAGTCTTCAAGTATCCAGAGTAAAACAGGATACCACAGGCCTACACAACGTTCAATGTAAGCTAAGGAATGTCATTAGCAGTCCAGTGTTTGCTCACTTGAAGATTTCTAATAAAACTAGCCTGTCCAGTTTCTGGGAGGAGCCCCTATAAAGATGACCTGCAGAACAGTTGCTGGAAAATCAATTTTCCTAGTGGAATAACGTTCAGGCCAAGCTACTGCATTTCTAAATAAATTTAAGACAGCTTTGCCATATTCTACAACATGTGGAGCTGTAAACTGGTCAAAAAATTAAAAAAAAACATCACAGAGTTTAATCATGATTTGTTTTGTCAATGGGTGTATAAATATATGTCTGTTGCCAAGAAAAACATTTCTCCTCTATATTTTCTTTTAAATTTGTACTGAATCAATATTGACAAAATGTGGATAAAGACATTAAGGGTAGCGTGGCAGTGCAGTGGTTAGCATTGCTGCTTTGCACTACTGGAGCCCTGGGTTCAATTCCTGGGCACTATCTGTTTGGAATTGTAAGTTCTTCCCATGTTTGTGTGTGTTTTCACCAGATGTCTCAGTTTCCCTTTCACAGCCCAAAGATATACAGTGTACTGGTTGGTTAATTTGCTCCTGGGAAAACTGGCTGTGGTGGGAGCGGGTGTGTCCTGTGATGGACTGGTGTCCCACCCAGGGTGTATCCTGCCTTGTACCTGCTGCTTGCCAGGATAGGCTCTGGGTTCCCTGCCGCCCTGCATTAGACAAAGTGTTTGGAAAATGAACTGATAAAGAAAGTGATGTCCTTAAACTTTTCTTGAATTCTCCTTAGTTGTCATTGTTAAAACAGTTGCATTTACCTCATTAAAGTTTTCATTGTGACTACGTTTACATGCTAAATATTGAGGCAATCTACATTTAAAGCTCTCTGAACAGAAGGACTGAAGTATCACTTCCAGTACTGAGACATCATGTATAGCAAAACCAAATTGACCAAAACGTAACAGGAAAACGGTTTTTGTAGTAACAGCACCGATATTTTATGGAACCTACATCGACAGAACCTTCAGACCTCAAGCGCCTTTCTTAACTGAATCAATTCCTTCATTCATGCATCAGTGACTCACAAGTTCTTACAGTCTTTCAAAACAGGTGAGCTAAAAGAAATAGGATGGGGGCTCCCTGTGACCAGGGTTGGTGGCTCCTGACATAAGTAACAGAATAATGCTGATTAACACTGTATAAAGGATTGACCCTCTGGGGCTTCGGTCTGGGTCAGGTTTAAGCTCCAAATACCACACACTGTCCCAGGTCACCCATAATTGTTTAATGGGGCACCAGTCTGGCATAGAACGCATCAACAAACTGTTGTGGGCATTAGTCATTTTCTCAGTCTCCTCCTACTGGCACATCCTCCAGGGGCTGACTTAGACCATCGAACCTCCAACTTTCTGACAGTACAAAGGCACTGTTCTCTTGATAAGTGGGGTACTTTAGCTCCTTTACATGCTTTTCTTTCTGTTCACTAGGCCATTTCATCTCATTACCTCAGTTACTAATGAGGTGATTTAGTAGCTATGTACTCATCACTCAAACCTATCGTGGCAAGCCAAGAATGATCAAATAACCCAAACAATCCCAAAAGTATCTAAGCGTTATTCAAAATGCAACATGATTTTTCTAAGCTGCCGCACGTGGAGTGACAGTTTGTTTACTGTACAAAATAAGAAACCTAAGCCTGCAATTGTGTGTGTGTCTTTAAGTGAGCAATGAAGAAGAACCATTACAAAGTGCCCACGCCCGTGTTTGGGCCTTGTATTTCAAAACAAACTTAATCCCACTTTTAAGGATTTCTGTCTCAATAATAACCTTTACTTTACACTAGAGAGCAGAAAGAAGGATACAGCCGGAACACAGCCCTTTATCTTCAGTGTCGGATTAACCTCTACTTGTTCCTTTGCTCCCTAACATAGCTCCCCTCTCAGGCCTCTTCAGACCAGGGGCTCAAAGATCCCTCAGATGTCTTAAGAGTAAGTTTTATGATACATTCTATTCAATTTGTTAAATGACACGTTACAAGGAGTTAATAAGAAAATGCAGAGCTGAAAAATGGAAATGTGATACACAGAAGTACTGTCCGTTTTGAGATCTTTAAAGAACACAACACAGCATTTAGACTTCTACACACATATATATGGACTCACTGTCCAAAATATTACAAAGCTGCACAATAAAGTTCCTACGAGTTTAGTACTAGCCACTCTAGTTTTAAAGTCTATTCTATTAAAGTCTATTAAAGTATTCTGTAGTTTCAAATTCACCTAATGAAAAGCTTGTTTGCCAGATTTGCAGAAAGACCTTACTGCTCTCATTTTTTACATAGTTTAAAAGGAAATCTGAATGTTAGATGACTACAGCATTTCTTTAAAAAGACGATGAATTCTAACATAAAATGTTTCTCAACCTGCATTACACAGACACAGCCAGCAATCGAGACATTGCATTTGTATTCAAATACTGTATCGGACCACAGATCTGATTTAGACAGAACACAGAAGTTTACCCAAAAAGGAACCTACTGTTTTTCATGTTTTTACAATATGATAGCACACACCCCCTCTTTTAACCTAGCTGTGAAACCCTCCTTCTTAATAACATTCAGAAGGTGCTTTGCTTATCCTAAAGTCCCGGAGCAAAATGGCCACACGTACAGCATCGTTTTCTTAATCTCCTATTTTCTATACAGCTTTAAAACCCAGGTTTTATCAGTCAAACACTGCCCAGTTCTACTTATATCTACAAATAAGAGTACAACCCCACTTGCTCTTGGAAATACAGACCTACCCTGAATAATGTAGACAGGATTTATTTCAACTAACTTACAAGCAGTTCTAACAATGTTGGAGGTCAATTAACCCACTTTAATTTTTAAGCAGCTTCAGGGTGAAGGGTAAGCCAAAGCCTATTTTCCAGCAAGCAACAGGCACAAGCAGGGAACACCCAGGACGGGACATGAGTCCATCACAGGACACACAGACAAAAACAGATACACACACTCACACAAAGCCTGATTTTCCCAAAAGACAATTAGCCTACCTAGTATGCTATTGGACTGCGGGAGGAAACCCACGCAAGCACAGAGAGAACATACAGACCATGCAGACAGCACTCTTCTGAACTAAACTGAACTGAACCCAGCATACTCTTAACACAAAATGCAAAACCATTTTAATAAATCATCCTACCTAACTCTCTCTGCATTAAAACCATGAATCAACTACAATTGTGATTTGCTACATCTGACTGTGAAGTTCACTAGGAAACCAATCTGGGAAATTAAAGAGGACAAGTGTACCAACGGGATACAAGTAGGTAAAGGTATTTAGTATTAAGTCAAGATGTATTATATAAGTATAATATACCTTACTGTTTATTTTAAATGGATCCTCTGTATAGGAACTTCAGGCCCTTATCGTATTTAATCATCGGTTTAAAGAAAGCACTATGGCTTTTGAGAATTCATATGGCATGTCAGGTGATCTTGGATGCCCCCTAGTGGTAAGTTCTGCAAATCATGTTTCACAAAATCACATCATTCTTTTAAGGCTGCAAAGGAACAAGTAATAGGTTTATTTCATGCTGAAAAGAGAAGAAAGAAAACACAATGTTTCGGCCGTGGAGCCTTCTTCAGGTGCTCTCACCTTCTTCTCAGGTGCTTCTGGAGCCTTCTTCAGGTGCTCACACCTGAAGAAGGCTTGAAGGCCGAAACGTGTTTTCTTTCTTCTCTTTTCAGCATGGAGTAAACCTATTCCTTGTTTCTTTGCAGCCACCCACCTGAACTATATTCTTTTAAGGCATCTACATATCAAACAGAAACTGTTTCAAACAACCTTCTTCTATCCAAAGATGTAAAGCTCCCATTTTGTCAAAGAAACATCACTGATGAGACCAATAGCAATCTATTCATACAATCTTTCTGCCACTGGTTTCAATCCTACCTTGACATCTAACATTCAGTCTTTTATTTCGTATTGCACCGTTTCCCATGGTTGTCCACAAAGAGCTTTTCCATATTTGCACAGACCTCATCTACAGTTTTCCAAAAACATTGGAAAAGAACTAAGAAGTATAACACACCCCCTTCTCAAACACAGTCTCTTGTCCTGCTCATAGGCGACTACATAGCGAATGACAGAAACATTCTGCTGATTTCACTCACAAAAGAGATATTTCAGTATTTTTTAAAATTATTGGTAGACCCTTCAGAAAACAGGAGCAGTAAGTAAAGAGCAAATCTATTTTTTAGTTTCATTGGTGCAAAATGTTATTACAAGCGAACTGAGAGTGAAAGGTTTCAGTCGCCATAACCCATTCTTGAGATTCTTGGGAAGACGTGCTTGGATTTCTCCATGGATTGTCAATCAGGAAAACATTTAAAGGCATTATATGTGGTCTGTCAGAGCGTCCTCTAAATGCCTAGAAATTACCAGCAGTACTTTCTATTTCTACTGATCTACAAAAAAAGAACAAAAGAGTGCAATTGAGAGGGGGCTATTCATCGCATCTGGCTCATTTGGTTTCTAATAGCTAATTGATCTTATCCAGCCATTTCTTGAAAGAAGCAAAGGGATCATTTTCAACAACTAGGGTAGTTTTTTACAGACCTACAGCATATATGGCAAAATATACTATCAATCCAATTTTTAGAATAACGGTGGCTATCTTTTAAAGCTCCCGCAAGATTCTCAATTCTCAACTCAATTTATGTGAGCTAATATTTGTGTTCAAACTTTGAAGAGAAGTTAATCAAACAACATGGCTTTAAGAAATTACTGTATAAAGGATACAGTCAATATATAGATGGTGATTATTGATTGTGCTTTTCTATAGCCAAACAAAATGGCTCAAGTTTCAGATCAACTGCAGTCTGCTGCAGTAGAACATAACAGTACAGTACCAAACATCTTTTAACCTTGTCAGCAACACCTTATATCTATGGCTCAGTCTCATCTTTAGAAACATCACTTACCAAGACAGAATAATTTACCTATACACTCTTTGCAATATCTTAGATTACTTGTCTCTTAGATATGCAATAATGTTGTTTTAAACCTCCCGAGTAAAATTGAGACCAATTGAGAAGACCACATTAAGGAAGATGCATCTTTCTAGTCAGTCATCTTGATGGAGAAGAGCATTCTGGCTTCAAATCAAAGCAGAGAAACAGAGCTTTGAGGTTTTTTTACTTGAAGATTTTTGCAAAATAACCCCAACTGAAATTAAGTTGGAAAATAAAGACGGGCGGCCAATGAGACGATATAACACCTTCAAAATGCAAATGCTTGGCATCATTCTATAGAAAAATACCCACAAATATGAAAATATGAACAGATGTCCATACAGTTTGTCTATAGTTTTACCTAATAAAATAATTTTATTATTTTATTTATTAAAATAATAAAAAATATATTTTATAATAATTTTACGTAATAAAAACCATGCTATGTTCTGCTTCTTCTTTTAAACATTAGAGGACTACAAATTCAAAGTATCAAAAAATTGTTGTTGTTTTTTTTCAGATCTCAGATTTACTCAAACAAGGTATTAAAGGATAAAAAATAACTGCTGGACATGCAGGGTAAAAACAGCACTTTTTAAAAAAAAACAGAACTTTTTTGTTTTAATGTTAACATGCTAAAATAAAAATAAATTGCTAAAGGAATACAATGAGGCAGGTCAACTAAAATCGCAGACTGATCCATTCTACAGACCTTTTTCTTTAAAGCTGCAAATTAAATACAAAGTGCTAACGGTGAAAAGCCACTGACGCTGGGAGGAGGCTCTTACCCTGCCACAAGGACGTATTTCCCATCTGGCACCTCTTTCAATCTCTCCAGGAGAGATAATCTCACTTTGGCTTTCGTTCTTCCATACACTTCAATTTCATCTGCCAGCAACCCGATCTCTTTGGCAAGCAGGTCGATTGCCTTTGGAGTCTGGCCCCGGGAAATCTCGATGTCACTGGGGAAAGGGGAACAAGGGAAAAGCTGAGGAAAAACTGAATATGGTACGAAGCAATGTGAAGAACTGTGTTCAGAGGTTTATTGGAATGTACCCAGGCTATCCCCTTCAACAATTTGAGGGGATTTTAAAAATCATATACTGATGGTCATGGGAGTTTTGCCATCTTCAATGCGAGATTAACTGAAACACTTACATTAATCAACTTAAACAGAGAAAAATGCTTTCACTATCTCCCTAGTAGTCTACCAAATGACAATACAGAAACAAAATGAACTGCAGGTAGGTATTGTGGCATATTACATTAAAAGTTAAAGGCTGAATAATATTAAAAAAGTCTTTAAAAGATGTATTGTTTTATTTTATAATTGGATATATTGCTTATGACAAATGTCTGCTTTTCCATCAGCTTACCTGGGTACAGGAGACAGGGGCTGGAGCTTAAGGCATCGAAGATTCCAGTGCCTGTACTGTTGATGGTCGACCCACCTACGGCCACTCGCGACAACATTCTGACAAAAAGAGGCACCGCTAAAGAACAACTTCCATTGCACGTTTGTTAGACGTCTACTGAAAACACGTCACACTTTCTGATGATGCTTTAGAAATGTTATGGGGAGAAATTACAGAAGGAATGTGGTCATTTTAATTGAATCATAAATAAAATATTAAAGGATGCTATACTTGGGACTTCAAACAAAGCTGTACTCTGCAGAAATTGAAACCACCATTCAGAATTAAAATAAAGAGACCTAACATATAAGACAGTTCAATGCAATCATGAGTTAATATGAACAAAACAATTTAATTGCGATAATATGAGTAAGTAAAAGAATTGCAATATTTCCCATTTTTAAGAGAGAAAAGTCTGGAAAAAGGGCACCGATCAAAAACAAACATTTAATTATGTGACATTTTGCCTTTGGTATGCTACTGCAACTACAAAAGTGACTACTGAGTGCGTGACCTCTGAAACAGTGATTTTTTTTAAATGGTAACATCTGCAATAACTCTCTTGGCAAGAGAAATACTGCATTCAAACAGCAGGTAAGTTAAATAAACAAACGAGACAAACAAAATGAGGGACAGCACAAGGTGTTTAAACTGGACACAGGAAATGGCCAACCTGCATCCTAAGAGCAGCAGCCAAGGCCTCCACTTCCGTCTCCATAGTTACAGCCAGACACTGAGGCTGGCTTTTACTCTCCTCTGGGAAAAACAAGGAGATTGCATGATCTATACAGAAAAGAGCATTTCAAGAGGTAACACATTTTTGTGACTAAGGCAAAACCACACAGGAAATGTAAACCTTTCTTGCAGACTGGAATACATCAAGACTTAAACTCATCCCCCCCAAAAAAAATTAAAAAGATGGGCCAAACAACAAAGCCTAGAAGCGCCAACTGCCCATCAAGTGTCAGCACCTCGTTACTATTCATCTCTTATATGGCACCTCAGTTTTAGACCTGAATTTAGAAGTAATGATGACCAGCTGTAATATGCATATAAACTAATTTAACCGTTTTCCATCACAGCAATGTGGATGAACAAAACTGTTTTCTAATATTGGGTTTCACAATGGCAGAAAAAAAACTTCCCAGGAAATAATACAACCAAGACAAACATACCAGTTACTAGAATAGAATAACAAAAATATAACACAATGTTCCAAACCAAACTTAATTTCCAACAATTTAATATACCACACTGAGTCTAATTCTTCAGCAATACTAGCCATGTGAATCAAAATGGCTAAGGAAACAAATGATTATAAAGAAATTAGAAAAACATAATGACTGAAAAGAACAGAACAGTGCAGATTAAGATACAAAATCACCTAAAAAGGTATACAGTATAAGCTTCAAACAACTGAATTTTTTAACATGATCCTCTACTGCAAGAATACATTGCTCAACATGTTCAAATAAAATGTAAAATGTGTACAGGTGATTGTGCAAAGACAAGACTGATGCTTCCATTGATAAGATCACATTTTTCTTTGGTTTGTTTTTTCAGCCAGTAAAATGAACAGAAGGAAGAATTCATCGTTTTCTCAGCCAAAAGAACTGCAGACCAAAACCGGGGCAAAAGAACTACCGTTTATTTGGACAAATGTTGAGATTTTAGATGAAATCCTGGATATGACAAAAACATTACCTGACACTACAGTAGGAGAACAGTTGATAACTGCTGATCCTGGCCTCAAACAACTGAGAGAAATCTCTGCTGGTTTTTCACTGGTCAGTACCACTACATCAGCCTGCTGAAACTGCAACAGAAGATTTGACCAAATTTTAAAAGCAATTCACAGTTGAATTATGTTATTTTCAAGGGTGAGACTTTGTGACTGGCTTGTAGGCTTTGCAATCCAAAAATTGGATCAAATACCTTGGTAAGAAAAAAATTTAATAGCATACTGTCCACCATTAACGTTACTACAATCCTTTCTTGTTACACTCAATCATGCCCTATGAGATTAAGATTATAGTAATATTAGATAAATATTGCACTAATTAAAAAAGATTATAATTTTGGTTTATGTGTAAATATTACACTGCAATCTCAACTGCAACTAAACAAGATTAATGTTAAAATGGCATAGGACACAATTAAGAGAATGTAGTCCATTTCAGAGCACAAGTACAATCAAATGTGTGCCCATGTCTGACAATTCATTCTGTTTTTGTCGCAACTGACATACTGTAGTAGTGTTTTTGTGATTAACTATTTCGGACTGGTGCAGCACAGAGCGCAGAGGTTAGTATCGCTGCCTCACAGTGCTAGGGCTCTGTGTTCAAGTCTGGACTTGTGGTACTATCTGTGTGGAGCTTGTATGTTCTCCCCGTGTTTGCATGGGTTTCTGCTGGGTGCTCCAGTTTCCTCCTGGTATCCTGTTAAGGGAGTATCATGCCTACTGCTTGCCAGCATAGCATAATTCTTTACGGGATTAATAAAGTATCTATCATAGGCCCTGGATCCACCTCAGCCCTGTACTGTACCCTGTAAAGTGGTCAGAAAATGGATGGATGGAGTGCAGACTGTAACGTTGTACTGCCATCCAGTGGCTGAAGAGATATAATACCCAGGAGCTCACTTGGGATTTATTTTTCTTAACAACAGATCTTTTCAAAAAGATATACTAATATTATTTCAAACCAACCTGAAATGCTTTTGAAGGGATATTTTAAGATCTTGTCAGTATAATGAAAAGAAATACCCTCTGCCACATAACCAAGCTAACACTCTAAGAGAATTAACTGCCTCAAGATACCTAAGTTTAATGTCAGATACACTGTTACTTGTGATTTACAAGTATTTCAAGTTGTGTGATTAATGTATTGTAATTAACACTACAAGCTTAAACAAGTGAGGTCTTGTACAATAGCTTCAGGCAAGAGGTATATTAAAGGAAAGCAAATTGTGTAATACAATGATGCGTACAAGTGTGTGCGACAAAAAATACCTGTTTGGGAAGCATATCAGCCTTCCAGACACTGCTCAAGGCTACTCCACCCTTCCTCTGAATGAGGCACTGAAGGGCGATTTCAAGAGGTCCATTCTCCCCAACTATCACTACCGTCTTTCCTTCCAATGATGAATCTGTGTGAAAGACCAAACAATTCTACAACAAAAATGTATTTTTTATTCAGGTACCGTGTCTTGTTTTCCTTATTTCTTAAATTTCTTTAGAAGTCAAAAGAAGGTTTGCACAATACTGTAAACCATGAAAATACCTTCACAGTTCTGATTCCCAGTAATAGAATGGACTTATCAGCACAGAGAAAGCACATCATCACTGTCGTCGGACTGACACCAGTTTATCTTCTGCACTGGGAAAGTGTCGTCTCAAGGATGTCCTTATGTCACTATGTGATGGCCACCCCATTGTTAATTGTTAGTCTATTAATAATATTAGGTTGCAGTGGTGTTAAAGCTGATCATGATCATACAGTACGGTATTTGTATAAATATTTTCCACAAAATTGCTCATGCTTTGTTTGTATATCAGTGGAAATTGTAAACCTTCATAAGTCTCTGTTTCATTGCGGGGAGACATGTAATTAAGCAGAATGACGAGAAAGCAGAAATAAGGCAGTTTGTTAGTTTTAAAGACACATCTCTTTTTGCCGGATTGAACCACTCTGTTTGTACTAATAGCAAACTTCATGTTGTTTGATACCATGATTATCTTAAAAGTTTTTATTGTAATGACATGATCCTCATATACCTTCCAAAGGCATTTTTAGTTGGTTCAAAATAAAATGAGTATTTCTTCATGTGAGTTGCAATGAGGTTTGAAATTATTGGCATGCTTTTATAACCGTTATACCATCATGGGTTTACACAGTTTTCTTTTATCTTATTACTACCTTGTGAAAAGGTTGTAATAAGATAAAAATCATAATAGACTAACAAGATACTGTAGCTTATGTCAGACTATATAACTTCAAACGCTTATCCTGACAAGTAACGAGTGCCAGGCAGGATACACTGTGGATGGGATACCACTCACGCCAGGGTCAGTTTTCCCAGAAGCCAATTAACTTTCAGTTACCAGCATGTTTGTGGACTGAGGGGAAATAAAACAGAGCTCCTGGAGGAAACCCACGCAAACTTGAGGAGAACATACAGTACAAACTCTGGTGTGGAATTGAACCCAGTGCCCCAGCACTGTAGGGCAGCAGTGCTGACCACTGCACCACCATGCAACGCTATATTTAAAATATTATTGGAACTTCATAGAATTGCAATAATTTAGCTTTCGTACTGATTTGATTTTAAAAAGCAGGATAATGGAGAAGTACATTGTTGAAAACTGTAATGAGGTTTTCAAGAAATTAGGATTTAAGATTGTTAAGAATGTAACTTTTAAATATAAACAGTATATGTTCAAACTGCCAATGTGAAATCTTTGGATAGGAGGTATTCTCCATAGCAGTGAGGGGTATTTGCAGACCACCTTTGGAGGCCTAAGGTGATCTCAAGAAAAGCTTCTGGAGGCTGTAGGATGCCACAACTCCTGTTACCTAACTCTATTACCTATTCTCACAAAGATAGACTCTGTGTGTGGACTCTTTAAGGTTGTCTGTTAGTAATAATTGAAAACTCAAGACTTACCAGATCTTCCAAGCAGCTCCATTACTGCATTGGCTGTCGGGGGAACAAAGTACTCATTCACATCTCCACGGACCAGCCTTCCCACATTCAAGTCCGTCACCCTGAGAGACAGCATGGGCGGCTTAGTGAAAGGACAGGCAATGAACTTCGGGCAACAAAAAAATACTTTAATCTCCAAAGCTGATAGAGAGTTCTCTAAAGAGTGGCAGGTAAAACTGCAGCCAAAAGGGTTTCCAACAAGCACTGACTCATTTTGAAAGGATAGGTACTTCTGCATGGTTAACATTGTAGCCTTTTATTTTCCTTGTGGTTCCTGGCATCATTTCACTTTCTTAAAACATTACAAATACTGAATTTAAAAAAGTGTGTAGACTCATCCATCCATATTCTAACCACTCTATCAAACACAGAGTTGTGGAAGAAGGGTAGCTGGAGCCTATTTTGGTAGAAAAACAGGCACAGGGCAAGATACACCCTGGACAAGGTGCCAGACCACTACAGGGAGCACATAGACATAAGCACAAACACACTCACATCAGGCCAGTTTTCAGTATGTCTTTGGACTGTGGGAGGAAACTCATGCAAACACAGGGAGAACATACAAACTCCACACAGACAGCAGGCCAGGAATTGAACCCAGGACCCCAGTGCTGCAAGGCAGCAATGCTAACCACTACACTATGCCACTTTAAAAAAAGAGTGTATATAATTTGTAATTAAACAAAATGATAAATCAGTGGAAGGGTGAAAATATTTAATATTTTGTTCCTTGTAAAAGTAGAGCTAGTTAATTTTAAAATAGACTATATGGATTTAGTACGTGATTCTGAATTAACGGTTCTTATGTATTATACATAGCAGGTATAGTTTTTTCTGTACTGCCACTTAGATGCAAAACATCACTTAAGGTTATCATCATTACTATAATTATATCATTATCAAAGCACTTATGGAATTTTAACGCACCCACAAACTGAAAAATAAAACATAAATGTAAGAAATTAAAAGGGAGCAGAGGTGCCTAATCTTGGGACAGAGGACAAAACCCTGTACTGGTCATTTATTAAAACAGAGTTCATTCTGGAAAACATGTTAATTCTGGCCGGTCCATCCTGTCAGAAATGTGGAACTCAGAGGGAGACTCTCATGACTTTATGTTAAAGCCTGCTGATGCTGGATCACAAAAAGACAAAACCACAAAGCAAACACTGGCCACAGGCCCAGAATAGCCTATTATGTTACATTCATATTTTGAAAAGAATCTACCACGTTTGTTGGAAAAATAGATATATCTATAAGAATGCAGTTTTTAAAATGTAACACTAAAAGTTCCACCTTTTTATAACTTGTGTTTAACCAACTTCTTGTAGCAGCAAAATATTTACAGTATTAATATTTCCAAGAAATGTTGGTTTTTGGTCTTGAACCACAGTTTGTCTTCACTGTACATAAGCAGATTTAATCAGGTTGCGTTTAAGTAGAAGCTTACAGAGCAAATAAAATGACAAAAATGAAAGCATGTGCCCCCAGAAAGAGAAAAGGTTTTGGTTGGTTTGTATGGATTTCATCTGCTTATTCACTTCATTCCAGTGTAAGTGTCAGGACACAGCACAAAACGCCGCTGAGTGCTTATACAAACGTTGGAGGACAGTTTGAGTAAACACAGGCTGGTGTACAGACCCATCCACATCCTTCTCCAGCTTCACTGTGTTCAGGACTTTGCTGCTCCGAGATCCTGCAGGTAGATGCAGGACCAGCCCATGAACTTTAGGGTCTTCATTCAGTTTGAGGATTTCATTGACAATCTGGAAAAATCACCAAGATATCAATACATACTGTATAAAAATTGTATTGCAACCGAACTTTCATAAGCAAGAGAAAAGGCAAGTACACCCAGAATTCTAAACAAGTGCCTCAATTTGAATGTCTTACGCAGGACAGACACAGTTCCTATTCTCAGGAAACTGAACCCAACCACATACTGCAGCACCATCTACTGATAATAACAATTCCAAGTCCATTCCACAGCAGACAAAAAATACACTAATATTATATTGATAAGAAATGTCACAAAGTTACAAATTTTAATCGGGAGTATTCCAATTTCTTATCTTTTATATTCAAAACCAGTCTTTTAATAAATAGGAACAAGTAATAGGTTTATTCCATCCTGAAAGAAAACACAACTTTTCGAAACACAGGAGAGTAGCTGACGATCATCAGTTTGGAGAAAGTTACAAAACATTTCTAAATATTTGGGGCACCATCTACTCACTATCAGACAGTTTACAAATGAAAAATATTCAAAGACCACAGTTACTCTATCCAAGACATCCTGCCAAGATCTCCCCAGGTGCAACCCAGAAAACCATCCAGCAAGTCACAAAGAACCCCAGAAAAACATTCTGGATCTGCTGGCCTCTCACTCTGTGACTTATGTCAATGGTGAGTATGAGTAATGTGGGTGAAGGAAATTAAGATAAATAACGCTGCTTGCTGATGGTCAAACTGACAGTAGCACCTTAGTGCAATGTTGTTCATCGCTTCCAGCTCCCAGAAAAAAATAACTTTTACAGGCAGAGAATCCAGTGTATTTTTTAAATGAGCGTACCCATGAAATCAATCACTCCAAAAAAAGCAATAAAAGAGAAAGCAGACAGCTTGCCATCATAAACACACGGGCAGATCTACAACAGAACAGCGTCCAGACATAAACTCAACTTAAATATTACAGCAAGATTTGCAGAAGACTGTTCATCCAAGAAAGCCCTAAAATATCGCCCTTGAAGCAGTTTTTCTTAAGTAACAATGGGCAAAAATGTCTATAAACTGATGTGAGAGACTGATAAACTGTTACAGGAAATGGATAGTTAAAGTTATTGACATTCAAAGAGGTGCCACCAGTTACTGAATCTAATGGTACATATACTGTACTTATTAACAAGGGGACATTTGTTGTTCGATCATTTTGTTAATTAAATAACCCATACATATCTTATGTCTTTGTGTTGTGCATTTAATCAGGGTATTGGCAACTTACAAAAACTTTCGTGAAGATCTAAATTATGTTTTAGGTTAAAAATAAAACAACAATCCAGACCAACCTAGGGGGTTTGCAAACTTTTCTTCACCGCACTATACCGTACAATCAAATAAAACATAAAGCATATTGAAACATGAAATGCATTATAAATTTAATTCCACAAGCATGTCATGGACATAGCATTGCATTAAATAATACAAACACTAAAAAATGCTTCCCTACATTTTTTTAAAGGCTTCCGATTCAGCTGTAAAGAATGTGGTGCTTTTGTGTCATAAAAATAAATATTCCAACAACCAGGCTGGTGGAGGCAAATGGCCTCTCATATGTATCATCTCAAGTTCCCGTGTTTCTGAATAATCTTCTACAAGACTTTAAAAAGTCTCATAAGTTAAGGAAATTAATCCGCTTTTAGAGTAATTTTCCCATTTCATCACAAGTGAATATTACAGTGTGATGTGGGAAACAGCACCATCTTTTGGAATTCCACACCTCAAATGTGGAAGTAGGTGAAAGGTCATGGGCTCACAAACAGCAGCCTTGAACTCACAGACCTCCAGCATCAAGGACAGATTCATAGTATAAGACTGAGATGTCAAACTCGATGCCTGGAGGGCCTGGCGCCTTCTGGTCTTTGCCCCAACCTGAGCAGTTGTAAACAATGAACTTTTTTTAACAGGACAAATAATGGAAGAGGACCTACCTCATCTTCAGTGCATTCACTTGGCAGGCAGATATGGATAACATTTAATCCAATCTGTGACAACAGAAAACATAAAATATTTTTCATTATTAATGACAAATTAACCTGCCGGTCAACTGACATTTCCTGACATTGTCAGGAAAGAAAGATCTTTAACCAGCACTTTAAAAGATTTTCAGGCATTATTATCTTTATCTGTGAATTTGGGTCTTTGAAAGTGGTGTTTATGTTTTCTTTTTGGGGTTTTGTCTTGTTTTGTGTAATGTTAGACCAAAATCCAATTACATTTGGTATTCAATTGGGAAAGTACTGCATGAATGATGTGCTTTTCAATTTGGTTTGCACTAATGGTGGCCATGTGTCTACATGTGACAGGGGTCACGAGAGGGGAAAAAAAAGTATTGGATGATGCTGTACTCTGGTCTAGAAACCTGTCAAACCTTCTGACTCTCTGGTAATTGAAGGAGAGAGGGCTGATATTAGAACCACCCTGTCCCTTCAGTACAGTACAGGTGCCAGCCTCAATTCTGGACTGTCCTACTTTATAAATATACATTTGTTCTTCCCAAAACTGAGCCTAAGAATAGGGAAAAAAAGTATACAAGGATCGATTGGAGGGTAACAGTGAGCAGGGGCCTTACCCAGAAAGCTCAAGATACAAGACAGAACTAGGGGTGAAGGCAATTAACCTGCGCAAATTTCACAGTACATGTTTGAACAGTGGAAGAAAGTGCAGCTGGAGAAAACCCATGCACAAATGGAGAGAACACGCAAATTCAACACACAAAGTACTACTGCTTCACAGCTCCAGGTTACATTGAGGGCAGGGCTGCCCATTTTCAGTCTCTCTCCTTCGTCATGGGGGCTTTCCCTGAGGACTCCAGACTCCTCCTACACATGCAGGATAGGGCTGAAAAATTGTTCGTTTCTGGGCAAGGGGGTTCAGCTTGATTTTGTACTTTATACGGGCTTGTTCCCAGTATAACCAGTACTGGTTATGGAACTACAGGACAAGGAACTAGAACCATATGAGATAAATGGGCCAAAAGGCCTCCTCTATTCTGAGGCCTTTCTAATGTACTTACTTTAGCAGCAATCTCCTTGTTCATTTCCAATAAGCTGTCATCATCGCCTGCCTATGATTAAAATATAAAAAACAACACTTCAAGATAGGTAAGAAGAGGACCAAACAAAAAATTAGTTGGAATGTTTCTGTTCTTATAGATTATGTATGTGATTATGTGGGAGCTAATTGTACAGACTTTTCATTATCAAGGAAAGCACGCACTGCCTTATTACTACAGGCAAATTTACATCAATGTCTGTATAATGTCACTGGCAGTCCTGAAGAAATACAGAGACATTAACATGAGGCTTCCTGTACAAGGTAGAAAATTAACAAAATCAAATAAACAATACACAATACTCAAGTCGCTCCTTCCTGAAATGCAAAAGTATCTAGATGCGTAACAACACTCCTTAAAACTATAACTTCCACTAAATGACAGACTCACTTCTCCCTACACTGCACAAAACTGCCCACTCTTCTCAACCCATCAAGACACGACAATACAGAGAACATTTATAGCGCAGAGACTGTACTGGTCAATAACACAAAAAGTGTATACACACACACTATAATAAATTCTTCATTTGCCAAAGTCTGCTGCGTACAATACTGTCTGTGGGTTAGAGTCCATGGAATGGGTGCTGATAACTTCCTTTTTCCCTCCGCCACACTTCCTCCTCTTCCGGTTCACGAGCGATACCTTTGGCCTCGACGCGGGATTTCGGAAACAGCCATTTCGACGGGGTTCGCGTGTATGTCCAGATCCCGCGACTCCACCATCAAAATTCAGAAACGTGGAGAAGGGAAGAGATCTCCCCTTGCCTCCCTCACCTGTACGATGGCAAGCACCGGCTTGAACATGGGATGTCGCGTCTGCAGCGAGGCAATCTCCTCTTTGGACTTCTGGATGATTTCTCTGCAGACAAATAAACAAAAACAAAAAAATCTAAGATAAAAGCTATTGATTCCAGAAGGACAGAGCACAGCCCGGGAACTTCTTAACGTTCTCAGGCAGGGTCACCGTGGATGAATGATGAGACTCTTCTAGGTTAGTTTCTCTCATTGACCTTTTTCACAACCAAGTGCCACTCAATGAACACAACAACAAAGTCATCGGCACATACTGTACAGTAGACTGAGCTCCGGCGATGCTGGATTGTAAATTAAGTTATTTATTACAGAGCTATTACAGAGGCAAGGTATCTGAAGATGCAACACGGGTTGTATTTTTTTTAAAGAATGTTAAGAAGTTATAATGTAGAAATACCAATGGTGACACTTTTACCAGTTTTATCCAGAGGATTCTAATCTTTTTTTGGCATACAGAGCTGGGGAGGTGCCTTGTCCTTGCAGTACAATAACAAGTTGAACAAAGTCATCAGGACAGGTGGCAAGATTACCATCACATCCTTTGGACTCAATAACATGTCTAAAGGAGTGACATATTATTAACGCCGCACATAAAATCATAGCTGACCCCTCTCATGCACTCTTTTTTGAATATACTCTCCTACCTCTGGAAAGGGGTATCAGATTGCCTGTATAAAGACTAAGAGACTAAGAGAGCATTTACTTAATTATATTAAAAATTTATAAAAAATGTTTGCGGGTAAAAATCTTATTATTGCTGTTGTTTTAGATACTTTACCAGCTAATTGTCTTTTTTAAACTTATGATACCCAATTAATTCTGAATGAGCAATGTTGTTAAATGTTGTTTTGTAACATGGTACTGTACCATGCTGCTTTGTATTATATTTATGTGAATATAATAATAATAAACCTTATTTTATATAGCGCCTTTAAAGGTGGCTTCTCAAAGCGCTTTACAGGATAACAATAATAATAAATAAGAAGAATACACAAGATAAAACACAATTACAATATATAGAGGAGACTGTGGATGGTGGTACTAAGAAAAGCAGAGGGGTGAAGAATGGAACCAGTTAAGTAAAGGCTTTTCTGAA